TATAATATTCTTAAATTATATATTTATTTTTACAACAATATAATTCATATAAATTACATATAAAAAGATAAAACAAGCTTTGAAAGCAGCCTAAAAACACAAAGTTGTAATGTTTGATGACATATAATACAATCATTAAGAGTTATACATATGCAAATTGTGTAGAATCATGGAAATTTATTTGTTAAATAATAAAACAGTAGAATGCAAGATGTAATATATGCTTTGTATTTGTTAATTATGTGAAAAATCTACCTGTGAATAAAGGTTGTATAATTCCATAACAATACATACTTACATAGGCAAATTTTATCTCAATTATTGAAATTTTAAAAAAAATTTCATAAGTATGAAAGAAAGTCATCTCAGGATCTTCAGTTGGATGTTCATGTCCTCAAAACCAGCTGACTTCCCAGCACCTCCGACCGCGCTCATGCTTTTATTTTGTAGTGCTTGCCCCAGCTTCTGGGGAATGTTTCTGGGAGTGGAGAAGCTGGGAAACCCAGCACGTGGGCACCTGTGGCTGTGAGCACTCAGCACACCTCCATCCTGCAACTCAACAACACACTGGAAGAGAAGGAAGTCTGTAGGTTTGTACCTGCTTTGCTGTGACCTACTGCAGTCTGTTTTCTCCCTGCTTTTCTTCTTATTTGGTTTTTAGCTTTTTCTTCCTTCAAAATATTTTCCTTTATCTTTCCTGGTCTGCACCCAGGGATGCCTGTCACTCTGCTTTCATTACTTCACCAAAATCCAGCTCTTTTTCCCCTGATCTAACCATTTTTCTTAATTTTACCTAATCTTTATAGGCTGAAGTACAAATTTGGTGAATTTGGAAACTATTCTCTCTTGGTCAAGCATGTCCATAATGGAGTCAACGAAACTGCTTGTGACCTAGTCGTTAATAAGAATCCAGTCGACAGTAACCTTCGTATGTATACACTCTTTGTTGACTTTTTAAACTTTGCATTTTCAAGCGTTTTAGTTTTTGAGTACTGTTTGCAATACTTTGCAATTTAAAACCTGGATTATAGGTTATCTGTCTCAGAGTTATGGTATATTTGAAATGTACTTATTGTGTCATTGGTATTTAAAGTACCAAGAAGATTATGTGACATATAAAAAAATTATATGGTATATCACCACAGTCTCATAGTTTAATTATGAAGCATAAATAAGACAAAAAAGTTTGCCCTGACCGGTTTGGCTCAGTGGATAGAGCGTCGGCTTGTGGACTGAAGGGTCCCGGGTTCAATTCCAGTCAAGGGCATGTACCTAGGTTGTGGACACATCCCCAGTAAGAGGTGTGCAGGAGGCAGCTGATCGATGTTTTTCTCTCATCGATGTTTCTAACTCTCTGTCTGTAAAAAATCAATAAAATATATTTGTAAAAAAATTAATGCACTGGAAAGAAACTAGAAATAGAGCAATCGACTGTCAAGTATCTTTCCTCGTTTGTGTGTGTCTTACGTTGGGAGTCCAGAGGTCCCCTTGGGTTAGGAAGGGGCCATTCATTCTGTAATAACTCCACTGAAGAATATGTTACTCTGAGCCTTCCACTAGAACTAGATAATGCAGTAAGTCCTAGGGCATTAGTATGTGCTGTGCACAGGGAGCCATTGAAGCCTGTGGGTCATGTCAAAGGATGTAAGAGCCGGTATGAAAGGGCCAATGTGGCCCTAACCGGTTTGGCTCAGTGGATAGAGCGTCGGCCTGCGGACTCAAGGGTCCCAGGTTCGATTCCGGTCAAGGGCATGTACTTTGGTTGCGGGCACATCCCCAGTGGGGAGTGTGCAGGAGGCAGCTGATCGATGTTTCTAACTCTCTATCCCTCTCCCTTCCTCTCTGTAAAAAAATCAATAAAATATATTTTAAAAAAAAGAGAAAGGGCCAATGTGGGACAATTTAAGTACTAAAAAGAATAATAAATGTAATCAATGGAAACACATTGAATATACAAAACCCAATGAGTTCACTGTGAAACTCAAAAGAGCAAAGGCCCTCTCCCCAAACTAAAACAAAACCAGGTTGCAGGGCACCTGAAGGTAACTAATGTGACTTAAAATTGTCAGTTGAAAGGAAGGATTGAAGCCTGTATCCTGTTTTTCCTATTTCAACTATATTTTAGGATAATTACATAGTCCTAGATCATGAGGGTAAATTCTTTAGAGAAGAGTTCCAGTTACTATAGGGCAGGATAGCAGAATATTTTGCAATCCCTAATGAAATAATTGCTTTAGGAATAAATCATGAGTGGGTGATACCATCCAATGAAACGGGGACTTAACCAGGGAGGGGTCAGGCTTCCACAGGCTGAACACAGCGTCGGCACAGGGTCAGTCTCAGGTATTCAGAGTACAGTGGGAAGAATACCACCTGTGAAGCATTCTTCCCCAAGACGGTGACCTTTTTAGTCAAGCCTTTACAGCTGCTTTCCCATGTACAGAACATTTGGAGGGTAGAAGACCTGGGACATGGGACATACTCACAGATGACAGCTGACCTGGTGTTTGAACCAAGTCAATGGCTGCTTGTGATGAAATGAGACTTAAGAGACAACACAAGCCAATGCAAGATTTGAACCTCGTTTGGATCCAGATTTGAACCCGCTAGCTACAGAAAACGGGAATTATTGCTAATTTTGTATGACACTGTGGTTATATCACAAAAGGTGCATTTTAAAGCAACTTTTAATTCTGAAATAGTTTTAGACTTCTAGAAACAGTGCACAAAAGAGTTCCCATATACCTTGTACCCGGTTTTTCCTAAACCCCTAAAGCAGTGGTTCTCAACCTTCTGGCCCTTTAAATACAGTTCCTCATGTTGTGACCCAACCATAAAATTATTTTCGTTGCTACTTCATAACTGTAATGTTGCTACTGTTAGGAATCGTAATGTAAATATTTGATATGCATGATGGTCTTAGGCGACCCCTGTGAAAGGGTCGTTCGACCACCAAAGGGGTCGCGACCCACAGGTTGAGAACCACTGCCCTAAAGTATATCATCATAGTACAGAGATCCCATGTACGATTATTGAAACCAGGAACTTAACGTTGGTACAGTGCTGCCTTCTCATCACATACTTTTCCTTTTTCTCCTGTTGTTCCTTCTAATTTTTTTTTTTTCTGGTCCAGGATCCAATCCAGGATCCCACAGTGCATTTGAATGTGAGGCTCCTCCTGTAATCTAGGACAGTTCTTTGTCTTTCATGACCTTGACACTTTTGAAGAGGACTGACCAGTTTGTTAATTGGGTTTATTTGCTGTTCTCTCAGGATGAGGTTGTGCATTTTCGGTAGATTATTGTGGAAGTGATGTGCTCTTCTCAGTGGATCATGTCAGGAGCTGCATGATGCTGATGCATCTTTTCCGAGACCGTAGCCTTAGAGAGAGAACTGAGATGGAGGGGCGTGGTGGGTGTCTGGGATTTGCTTTAAAACACTTCAGGCCAAAAAGAGAGAGGGGAGAGTGGTAATACATAAAGCAAGAGTGACAGTATTTTGATAATTCTAGAATTTAGGTGATGGGTGTGCGTGGGTTTATTGTACAATTCTCCGTATTTTTGTGTAGTTTGGTATTTTTCATAATGAAAATTAGCACTCCCCTTACGAAGTGTTCTCAGTTGTTTATAGGAAATCTAGCGTAACAATATCGGCTTTGCCTTCATTTGTTGTGATTTTTATTTTTTTGCATTTTTTCATTTACAGATTAAATGTAATAATGTGACCACTTTGATTCTTCTGATGACATTTTTGGTAATAACATGCTTTCTGTTATTTTTATAGCTGTGTGTATTGCGTTCCTTGTTGGTCTGGCGGTCATCATTGCTGTGTGCTTTCTAAGGTTCTTGTTGAGGTAAGCACCACTGGGGAAAGCAGTAGTATTCTTTGATGAAAGGAATGCTTACTGTGTCCACCATGCCCCTTCCAGCCCTAGGACTAGGGATTCAGTGTAGCATAAGAGATGATCCCTGACTTCAGTGAAATGATAGCCTAGTTCTATTGGGTCTTGGCCTTCAGTCCTCCCAAATGGCTGAAAAAGTAGAAGCAAATGCTTGAGGAATAATTTCCTGAAAGAGTCTCACATCCTGCTTTATGATGAGTAGAGGTGGTGATGAGTGTAGGAGGTGGTTTCCACAGTGGACTTTTCTTCCTTCCCTCTGGCTCTGAACCCTGGGGCCACCCCTCTAATCCAGTTTCCCTGGGCATCTGGCAGCAGAGATGGAGGACGGGGTGTGGTACCTCCGGACCCCAGCAGGGACTCCTTCCCTTTGTTGGGTTAGCAGTTTGAGAGGAAATTCTTCATCGAGTAACAGCGATTCTGGTGAGAGTGAATTAATAGACTGGAAAAGAAAAAGAAAGTAAAGTAGATCCAGGCCTGGCAAATCGTCTTTCAAAGGAAAGTTCCTGTATGTTTTAAAAGGAATAAGATCGATTTTTCCTGCACTCAGCCTGTTAGGGTCTCAGGAAGGACCACAGGGTTTTATTGGTGAGCTGTATGCAAATTGGAAGAAAGAGAACCTGGCCTTTAAGGTTGCTCACTCCGGGAGCCCTGCAACTTTAGGGCTTTTATGCACTTTGACCCACTGCCTTTGTGCATCCCAGAAATAACTCCTGCAGGGGAAACCTGACTGTATGTAGGGGTAACAGGATGACTTGCTTGCTACTCAGAAGCAAGTGTGGAATCTACCTGCTTTTTAGGGACAGAGTATGATCCTAGCGGGGGGAGGGGGCGGGGGGGGGGAGGTTCATTTCTTTGAATTAAGGTATCATCTTGTCAGTCTTTGGATATGATGCAAATACTGTTCCAGTTTGTTAGGATTTTCTTCATGTGGTGCTTTTCATGTGAATGTATCTATTGCACCACTTTCTAAAGTAATTGGTAACTGATCTCAAGCTCTGGCAAAGGGAGAAGGTACCACCTCACTCCACTGGGAATTGAAACTCTGCTTTGCAGGAGTGTCTGCCTTTGCAGCCTGCAGGCAGAGTGCAGTGATTGGCAAAGCAAGATCCCTGTCCTTGCCCTGTCTCTCCCCAGCATGCCCATGAAAGTCTGGGGAAGTTCAGGTTCGTCTGAACCAGAAAAAGTAGTAAGAATACAGCTTCTCTCTTTTCACTTGGAGAACAAGCATGTACAACAATTTTTAAAAGTTCAATTTTAAAATATTTTAACTTCTCTTTTTCACCCTTCCTTAGATGTCTCTATTTTAATATTTTTCATGTAACAGTGATGTTATCAGTTCTGAGTAAACTAGAAATAGGAGTTGAGTTGTGGAGAAAACAAGAGAAGAGATTAAAAATATATTCAGCCCTAGCCAGTTTGCTCAGTGGATAGAGCATCGGCCTGCAGACCAAAGGTTCCCGGGTTCGATTCCAGTCAAGGGCACATACCTTGGTTGCAGGCCCCTCCCAAGCCTGGGCCCTGGTCAGGGCTCACGCAGGAGGCAACCAATTGATGCGTTTCTCTCACATTCAGTGTTTCTCTCTGTCTTTCCCTCTCTCTTCCACTCTCCCTGAAAATCAATGGAAAAATATCCTCTGATGAGGACTAACAACAACAACATAAATAGATTCACTGACTATATAGATCATGCGTGATACTAATTTAAACAATTATACTGTAAGGAAAAACTTATGAGATTGAGAAATTGCACTGGCCATTTGATAATATTAAGGAATTATTGATAATATTTTAAAATGCAATAAAGGTACTACAGTTACATTTAAAAATTGAAAAGTTTTTATTGTTTGGAGGTATATACTGAAGTGTTTATGGATGAAATGATATGATGTTTGGGATTCTTTAAAATAAAAGGGGTATTGTGTGGGAGTGTGGAGGAAGTAAGACCGACATGTGTAGTTGCAGCTAGGAGGTTGGTCTATGAGACTTATTATACTAGTTCCTCTGCTTCTGCATATGCCTGAAACTTTCCACAATAAAAAAAAAAGAGAGAGAGAAAGAAAGTAAAAGGAAAAAAAAATCCTATGTATTGGACAATTCAAATGTACAAAGTTTATGTAAAATGAGTTTTTCTCATTTTAAAGAAAAGCCAGTTAATATATTTATCTTTTGTTAATCATGTAAATCAGTTTAATATATCTGGATATCTTTTTGAACAAAAGTACTCTTCTAGAAAATAAGAACCCAATATACTAACTATTTGAATTACTCCAAAGTTACTTTCAAGCTTTCTCAGTGTGCAAATATGCATTTCAGTTCAGTTGTAGCTGAGTCTGTGTAATGGGTTTTTGCTTTTTGTTTTTAACAGTTTAGATTTGTATTTCTTTGAATAGACAGAGGCCACATTCTTGTTATTTTTAATAGCTGTATCTCACCCTGTTACACAGCTGTCATATACTGTGTAACAGGGTCATTTCTCTATTGAGTGTGCTTGTTTGAAATTTTTTGCTATTCTTATTTTAATGATATGATGCATTATTAATAAGAATTCTTATTAGCATTATTAGTAGTATTAATAAGAATTCTAGCCACAGGGAATAATAACCTCAATAAACCCTCACAACAACTCTATTACTATTTCTGTTGATGAGAAAATTATGCTATAAGAATCAAGCATTTAAAATACAGTTGCTATAAACTTTGATTTGCACTTTTGTTTCTTTAAAAATTTTAAATGTGTAATTCTTTGACTTGTATGGAATTTGAACTTAATTTTCATTTTAATCAATTAATATGCTATCCAGCCATTTTGAAATTCTGCCAAAGAACACAAAAGAACTGTGCCTTCTATTTATTTACAGTTTGGATGACTTTAATAACTGGATTTCTAAAGCAATAAATTCCCGGGAAACCGATCGTCTCATCAACTCCGTGAGTTATTAGAATGCATCATGTGTGATGTGGGTGGTTTTGTTCGTTTGGAATTTACAGTTTCCTCTTTAATCATCTGTAGTATCCGGTTTAGTTCATCTTATTTACGTTGTGGAAGGCCAGATCACGTGTCCTGTATTCTTAATAAAGAGCAGCTTCTCTCAGCTCTGTGAGGGCACTGTCTCCTCTGCTTCTTCCCTGAGGTTGGGCCCTGGGCTGCCTCGCGATGTTTCGCTCTGCAGGCCGTGCTGTTGAATCAGTCCAGTTACAAAGAGAGTCACTGAACACCAGAGACACCAGTGTTGATTCTGTGAATGCCAAGGCCTCCTGAGATGAGCAAGCATATTGCTGTGCTGATAAATTCATTATGGACATATGGATGCCCCTGTGTGGACATTCTTGCTTGTATGTTTGCACAGATGCACTTATGGACCAGTTCTTCGTGGTCGTGTATCAGCATGGGCAGTGCAAGCTCAGCAAAAGGCTCAAAACCAAATGATGGAAAAACTAAACCTCCAGATGGGATCCTTACAAAAGCAACTTGAAGTACTGTTCAGAACAACGATCTTTAGCTGTCCACATGGTTCACTTCTCCCTAAGCAATGGGAAAAGGAAATTTACTCCCTAGCATCATGAATCACTGGTCCGTCTCCCCTTTTTTCTGAAGGAGCTGGGCTCTCCAAGCAGGGCAGGCCTGTTCGGTGACGATGCCCAACCGGAAGTATGGCGTCTGTCTGCGGTGCCTCCGCGCCTCCGCTGCGTGGACACGTTCCGGGGGTACGTGGCTCCCTTGTAGCACTGTGGGCACAGGTAGTCTCAGGTTACATGTTACACATAAACACACTTTATGTTAAAAGTATTTCATATTTCTTTTTGTTTTCTAGTTTTTTTTCTGTTTGTTTTTTTTATTGCTTAAAGTATTACAAACTGTATTACATATGTCTCCTTTTCCCCCACTTACCCTAAGTGCCTCATATGAATGAAATCATATAGTGTTTGTCCTTCATTGACTGGCTTATTTCACTTAGCATAATTTCATATTTCTTTTACTGTCTAGGCTAGAAAGGATTTCTTGCTATAAAAGAAAAGCAGCAGCCATAGCCGGTTTGGCTCAGTGGATAGAGTGTCAACCTGCGGACTGAAGGGTCTCGGGTTCAGTTCCAGTCAAGGGCACGTACCTTAGTTGCAGATTCCCCGGCCCTGGTCGGGGTGTGTACAGGAGGCAACTAGTTGATGTGTCTCTCTCACATTGATGTTTCTCTGTCTCTCCCTCTCTCTTCTACTCTCTCCAAAAGTCAATGGAAAAATGTCCTCAGGTGAAGATTAACCAAAAAAAAAAGTGAGAAAAGCAGCAGCCTCTCCTTCCTGGGAAGCTTTGGTTGTCAGTGTCTGTGAGCTGGCGAGGAGTAGTGGGGCAGGACCAGAGCCAGTTGCCACTGGTGTGTAGATTCTGCTGAGTTAAGGTCATTTGCATTTGGGCAAGTAGCTGTACGTGGGGCCCCCACATCCACATGCACCCCCATGCCCGGTCAGTCACTTGACAGATGAGAAGACACGGTAGTTTCGAAACGAAACACCAGCACCCCAAGGAGTTGTCCTCTAGCCACCTTCACTGCTGTCCTTCACCGCCACTAGCAAAACAGCTAGAATGTCAGGCCCTTTTTATAACAAACCCACAGCATCATATGGTAAATTGTTACCTATAATAATAAAAGTATAATATGCTAATTAGACCGGATGTCCTTCTGGACAACCTTCCGGATGAAGCCAAAGCTGGGGCTGCAACCATGGGATGGAGGAAGCTGCCGTGGCTGCGAGGGAGGGATCTAGGCAGCCACCGCGGCTGCGCCGTCCTACTCTTGCATGAATTTCATGCATCAGGCCTCTAGTTGTTTTATAGTTCTGGTAGAAGAATGAACGCCAGGACCAAACTCTGAAAATAAAGTATAAAAGTGTAGACCTGAAAACAAATATCTAGGTATCAGGTCTTCCATTTCTACTCACCAAGGTCTCTCACTCTCCAGTGATAACCTTAGAATCCTGTCCCAGCATCACCAGAGCTCTGAGTGCTCCTGGTGTGTAATGTGAAGCCAGGAATAATAACAAAAATGATGATAGTAGTAACAATTGCTAACAGTTTTGCGTTCTTACCAAGTGCTGAGACTGTTCTAACATGTCTTAATTTATTCCCTTTACAACCCGATGAGGCATACATGTTTAATATGCCTGTTTCACAGATGGAGAAGTTGAGCCACAGGGTTAAGTAACTTGCCCAAGGTCACTCAGAAGGACTGAGACAGCCAGGATTTGATCCTTAGCAGTTGAGTTCCAGGGTCCCCATAAATGATCACATTAACATATTAAAGTCTTTGTTGCCTGCATTCTATAGAATTCGAATCAAACAATAGCCTATCCAGAATCAACGTTATTGTATTAATTTTTCTTTTTGATTCTCATCGCCACTTTTGGAGATGAAACGTTCACAGGTAGACAGGAACTAACATTCACTAAGGGCCTAAAATTGCCCAGCACTGGTTAGGTGCTATCAGGAACATTCGTCTTAAAGAGTCCCAGCGTTTCCTATGTGGGGTAGGTTCCCTCTTACAGAGAAGCACATGGAGGTGCCTGTGAGAGTCTTGCCCAAGGTCTTTTGACCCAGAAGAGAGAAGCACCTAAGATTTGAACCTTCAAGTCTGGCTACAGTGACTGTGAACCTGAGACGCCTGAATGAGTGGCACAGCATTGAGAGATTGGGAATGTTTGGCTTTGCTTTCAGGTTACACAGTTGACTGTCAATCTGAATTTTTCTTAAGGCTTCATCTTGTTAGAAATGTTGGCAACAGCGGGACCTTGGTGGAGGGTCCTGACAATCCTTCCTCTCTTGCTATGCGCCCTCTGGTGTCTTGACTGCGCCTGTGTTTGTAAGTGTGTCTCTGGCCATCGGCCGTTCCTTGTCACATGTGCCGGCCCTGACTGTGTGCTCCTTCTTGCTTCACAGGCTAGCGCTCATCCTCATGGTCTTCGTTAATTACGGAGGAGGAAAATACTGGTACTTCAAACATGCGAGTTGGAATGGTATGTTATTTCCTAAAGGTAGCGTCGCTGAAGTGGGACCCCTTCAAAGAACTGTGGGCAGGAGGGCCACCCAGCGTCCCCCCAGGAGCCAGAGATGAGGCCCCAGCAGGCTCTGCCCCCGTAGAATGACTCTAGGTTATTTTGTCGTTCTGTCTTTTGTGTTCTGTGGCTCCGTGATGCCTCACTGTGATAACACGGAGACTCCACGGTCTCAGCTGTGGGACTCAGAGGCTCTGCAGTCGTTAAGAACTTAGTTGTAGCCCTGGCCGGTTTGGCTCAGTGGACAGAGCATCAGCCCGAGGACTGAAAGCTCCTGCTTTCAATTCCAGTCAAAGGCACGTACCTCGGTTGCAGGTTTGATCCCCACCCTGGTCGGAGTGCATGTGAGAGGCAACCAGTCTGTGTGTGTCTCTCACATTGATGTTTCTCTCTCTGTCTCTCCCTCTCCCTTCCATTCGCTCTAAAAATCAATAGAAAAATATCCTCAGGTGAGGATTAACAAAAAGAAAAAGTAACTCAGTTGTAAATGATCCTTGTCATGTTCTAGGTATGCCTTTCAGTGGAGCCATGCACATACCTTCGGAGACTCCTGGTCCTCCGAGGGTGCCATTGACCTGCAGTTGGTCTGAGTGGTGCTGAGCGATGGCTGTGCATGGGCCTTGGCGGTTGGTTTAAGAATGGGTTTAGAGTAGCACGGCTTAAGGATAACAGACGTGTCCACAGCTGCTAGTCTGGTTCTCCCGGGCCCAGTCATGTTCCTAGGCAAGGCTGGAGGCCCAGGGACAGGTTGCAGGGTCCCCGGGGAGGGCCTGTGTGTTCCTTCACAGTGTTTTCCTTTTAAATTTGGGAAGTATTCTCACTCTAGATCCCCTTTCCTTACCCCTCCATGTTGGTGTTTCCCTGCAGGACTGACAGTGGCTGACCTTGTGTTCCCATGGTGAGTTCATCTGCCACCAGCTCTCCCGCAGGTCATCTCCGGGTTTTCCTTTTCAGCTGTCGTGGGAGCCTTTCTTGAGACCAGCCTTGAGTTCTGGGCCACAGGCCTGTGTCACTCACAGGCCTCTGCTGTGACGAGGTCCTTCCAAATGTCGTGGTACTGGACAGTTCTTACACTTCGCATGCGTAGTGCTCATCTGAGACGTGTGCATATAAAAGACGAGTGTGAGTGTGGACACAATGTACTGTACGAGGTCCTGGAATCTTGTAGGAAATGACAAATGCCACTAATCCTGAAAATAAGTATAAAAATCATTCCTAAAAGTAACGCTGTATATTAGTTAGTATCAGGGAACTCTGGTAAGTCTGTAACAGGTCAATGATATTCTAAAGTAAAATTTGGAATAACAGTGGAGAACTAAACACTGCCTTTACTCCTCTGTGGCTGCTAACTTTGTTGGGGGACCCTGACCTCCTATACAAGGAAGAACCTATGTCTTTGCTGTGACACCTTGAGCTCCATCATTAGGAAGTGGTCCTGCGTGTTGGTTTAAGTCTTTGGTCCCTTGTGTTTCGTCACTAATATTAAGTCGGGGCTTTTGGGGTAAGGAGGTTGGGGGTTTTTTTTGTGTTTTGTTTTGTTTTTTTAGCCAGATTACTTTTACAAGCCCACAGACCTAATTATTTACGTATATTCTCTGTGAGGGTCCCTACAGAAAAGCGGCTTGCTGTGTGCAGTCAGAGCAAACTCATCTCTGTAACCCTTCTCCAAATAGAGAAATTGCTATTCTGATTTTTTTAAAAGAGGTAATTTAGTATGGTAAAAGAAAGGAAAGAAAAGAGATGCGTGGTTCAGACAAAATCAGAAAAGAAAAAAAAATAAAGCTTTCATTTTTCTTCCAGGAGCAAGAGTGAGTTAGAAATGATTGAAGTGTGTGGTTTGTTTCTCAAGGACCGGAGGGCATGCTAGTGAATGCTGAGCTGATTGGATTACAGCATCTCCGTCCTTGTTTCTCTCTGATGATTACACGGGACAGTTGTTCTTGAAAATTGCACTTAGTGCTGAAGAATCTCCCCGAGGACAGGGCTCCAGGGCGCACAAACCTGACAGCCTAGCAGGGCTGCGTTCTATGTTTCCTCCGCTATTAACCCAATGTCATTTCAGTAATTGGCTACTTTTTAAAAATCATGTGTAGCTTCTCTTATGTAACAGGTTATAAAATATTATGATATGTTACAATTTTTTTTGTATATATAGACCAAAACATTAGAAATGGCCATCTAGTAATAGCTGGGTTTTTTTTTTCTTAGGTTTGTATTTATTATGGGATCTTCAATTTTTCTATCAATGACTTCCATACTGCAGCGGGGATGTTCAAAATTCAGGCTGCTGGGGAAAGTTGCGTGGAGGAGTTTCCTGTTAATCTGCATAGGAATTGTCATTGTGAACCCCAATTATTGCCTTGGTCCATGTAAGTATATCCCCCCCTCTGTTCGTATATATGCAGGTTGAAATATGGAAACTACACAGTATAATTCAAAAGAAGTGTAATCTCTCCATCTCAGGTACTTACGAAAAGAACAGTTATTAGAAAAGTATACATGATGCTTGTATAACGTTGGGCACTATTGTTATCCTATTGGATTCTAGACCTGGGCCACCCGAACCCAAAGAAAGTGTGAGAGATGGGAGCGCTTTCTTCAGATGATCGAAGTGCAGAGCGGGGCCAAGTGGGGCCCCGACCAGGTCCCCTGTTTGTCAGACCCTGCCCTCCTGCCACTTTGCTTTCAGTAACTTTCATAATAAGGCTGTTGTGTGGTGGTTCAAAAATTCACCTTTGTCACCTGCCACCTGTGTGCCGTCTGGGTTGCTGGGAAGGCATGACACCTTCGTCATTGTCTTAGGGGTGTGAGGGAGATAGGAAAAATGAAGGAAGGATGTAGGTCCTTTGTTTGGGACCCAGTATCAGAATAGAGGAAGGTGCTAGTCATTGTCCTCCTGGGGCAGTAGCAAAAGTGGACACAAATAGCTGCACACTAGCCAGATGAACCCCCCAGTCAATGACCACTAAGACTAGGCATTAGGAGGAGGTAGAGGTCACTTCTAGTTGGGGTCACAAGGGAAGGTGTCACAGAAAAGTTGACTCGTGGATCTCCAGAGGCGGGCCACTGCTCGCAGGATACATTATAGGTTCATTACAGGGTTCCACTCTTCTAGTGAAACATCCCGGTGGCCTGTAGGGCAGGGAGAGTCCGTCGGTGGATTGTGAGTTGAATCCATAGTCTCATAAGGAAGGCCCAGGAGATGCACTTCAAGGCTAAGGGTAATTCCTGCTTCATCCCCACCCCCGAGGCACACACTTCTGTTCTCATCCCAGTCCCCCAGCGGGCCAGCTTCCTGCTGTGAGTGTGAGCATGTCTGCTGACCACATGGAGTATTTCCGCCTCCGAGAGCTTAAAGAGGACGCACTCAGGTGCAATGTAGGTGTGTCTTCCCCCTTAGGAGAAAGTAATGCCTTGGGGTGAGATGAGAGATGCTGACTAACCTCTCCCAAACTTGGGCCTCCTGCAGTGTCGTGGGATAAGGTGCGGATCCCTGGCGTGCTCCAGCGGCTGGGGGTGACCTACTTCGTGGTGGCCGTGCTAGAGCTCCTCTTTGCCAAGCCTGTGCCTGAAAGCTGTGTCTCGGTGAGAAACCCTGTTTTTTAAAAGAGGGGGAAAATGTCTGGTTTCTAGAACTTTCTTTAGTTCTGAGTGCAGTACTTCAGTAGATTCTTTGATGCTGTTAGTCAAATATATTCTTTTTTACTTCAATTAGTTATTTTTATTTAGTCTTTATATCAGCCATTTTAAAGTTAATTTTTAAAGAGAGAGAGCAAGGTAGAGAGAGAAACATCGATTTGTTGTTCTGCTTATTTATGCATTCATTGGTTGCTTCTTATATGTACTCTGAATGGAGAATGAATCCGCAATCTTGGCGTAATGGGACCTCGTTCTAACCAACTGAGCTACCCAGCCAGAGCTATCAGTCAGGTGCTTTTGGGAGGGTTTTTATGTTCATAAACACATGAGATCTACCTTCTTAACACATTTTTAAGTGTCCAATAACCAAAGGTATTTGGATGGTGTTAAAATAATATCACCATCACCTAGATTGCTGGCTCAGTCTCTTTTAATTTCCTTGTGGTATAAGATATATATAATATACAATAGGCCCGGTGCATGGATTCATGCATGAGTGGGGTCCCTCAGCGTGGCCTGTGGAGATCAGGCCGAAATCGGCTCTCTGACACCCCCCGAGGGGTCCTGGATTGCAAGAGGGCGCAGACCAGGGCCTCTAGTATGCATATAAGATCTTTGGTTAATCTCTTCTTGCCCCCCGCCCCCCCTTCCTCTCTTCACTCTTCACTCTGGGATTCATCAGTCAGTTCCATGTTTCCACGTCTGTGGTTTCTGCTCCTGCATTGAGTGTCTGCCCTTGGTGGTCAGTGCATATCATAACTACCAGCTGGCAGTTGCTTAGGCTTTTATATAGCCGGTAGCTTAGGCTTTTATATATACATATAGACATATAATATATGTATATTACATATATATATTTTAAAATATTTTATTGATTTCAGAGAGGAAGGGAGGAGGAGAGAGATAGAAACATCAATGATGAGAGAGAATCACTGATCTGCTGCCTCTTGCATGCCCCACACTGGGGATTGAGCCCGCAACCCGGGCCTGGGCCCCAACCGGGAATTGAACCGTGACCTCCAGGTTCTTAGGTCAGTGCTCAACCACTGAGCCACGCTGGCTGGGCTATATTTATTTTGAGTTGTATTACATTTCAGTATCTATACAAAAGGCTGCAAAGGTTCAACGTGGAGGGGAAAATGCCAAGCTAGCGTGTGGGATGATGACAGTATGTCCTTGGCTGTTTCTTTGTTGTAAGAAGTATTCAGGTCGCTTCTTCTGTGATTACTTTCTGTCTTGCTATAAATTGCTGAGTTGACCAAGGTGACAGCTATTTCTTTTTCCCTAAGGGAGGACATATTTCACAAACCATAAAGCTCACGTGTTTGATGTATACAACTTAGTGGTATTCAGAGTTGTGCACTTATCACCACTATCTCGTTCTAGAACATTTTCACTGTCCCCCCAAAAACCCTGCACTCACTACTAGTCCCTCACAAGTCCTTAGGCAACCCCTAATCTACTTTCTGTCCCTATCGATTTGCCAGTTTGGGATGTTTCATGTCAGTGGGATTATACAGTAGGTGGCTTTTTGTGTCTGGCTTTTTTCACTCAGCGTAATGTCTTCAGGGTTCATCCATGCTGTGCCATGTGTTAGTCCTGGATTCCTTGGTGACTAGTGCTCCATTTTGTGGTTGAACCACATTTTGTATCATTCATCATTTGATGGATATTTGATTTGTTTCCACGTTTTGGCTATTATGCATTTTAACGGCGCTGTGTACATTTGTAGACAAGTTTTTGTGTGAACATCTGTTTTCAATTCTCTTTGGTTATAGGATTGGAATTGTCCACTGATTCCTTTGTAACTAATGTTTTACTGTGGTTCTTCATAGAGAGGAAACATCCAGGTCACGCAATACCTATGAGATAAACATGCATGTGTTTTTGCATTACTACAATGAAGGCCAAGAGAAGGATCAGAGGGAATTTCCCACACGCTTGCATGTTACTTCCTGTTGGTGCTACTTGCATTCAGCTTGTGTTTTTATGCCTCACTCAGGAGAGAAGGTGCTCTTGTCTTCAGGACATCACATCCAGCTGGCCCCAATGGCTCGTCATCTTGATGCTGGAGAGCGTTTGGCTGGCCTTGACATTCTTCCTTCCTGTTCCCGGATGCCCCACGTAAGTGACCCCGTGTAGGTCATCCCTTGGTGCTTGTCATTTTCTGCCTCGTCAGACCTTTGGGGCTCTATCTTCAGATTCCCCAAGTCCAAGGAATCCCTTTCGCTCTTTCTTCTCCGTTGAGGCCACTGTATGTTGGGAGAAGAGCTTGGTGTGTGTCCAGAGGAGTGTCCCTGGGAAATTTTTTCAGGGTCAGTTTGAATGGAAGTTGCGGAGCCTTAACGTGGGAGGCAGTCCAGTTGAAAGAGCATTGGTCAGAGGGTCTGGCGCCAGAGGGGTTCCTGGCTGGTACACGTGTGCGGCTCTTTGTTGGGCTGAGTGCACAGCCAGTATGTACTCTTATCCCTCTAGGGCAGGGATCCTCAAACTTTTTTTAAACAGGGGGCCAGTTCACTGTCCCTCAGACCGTTGGAGGGCCGGACTATAGTTTAAAAAAAAACTATGAACAAATTCCTATGCACACTGCACATATCTTATTTTGAAGTAAACAAAACGGGAACAAATACAATATTTGTATTTGCATGTGGCCCGTGGGCTGTAGTTTGAGGACCCCTGCTCTGGAGTCTTGTCAGTAAGCACGTGTTCTCACTCCCCAGCGGCTACCTTGGGCCTGGTGGCATCGGAGATCTGGGGAAGTACCCGAATTGCACTGGAGGAGCTGCTGGCTACATTGACCGCTTGCTTCTGGGAGACGATCACATTTATCAGCATCCTTCCTCGAATGTGAGTAGCACGGGTTTGCACTTGGAACTGGACGTGTAGGCGCTCAGGAGGGAAGGAAGGTAGAAAGGGCTGGCCAACTTGCAGTTGTGTCCATTTCATAAACTAGGATGGGGACTAATTTTTATTTGAAAAGATGACTAACTTTAGGGACTTGAGTGTTCATGATGGGGCTGTAGGGCAACATTACTTTAGATTTCAACGTGAGCCTACATAGTATCAGACGCGTAGCCTAGTGCTTTTCTGTGGGTCCCAGGTCGGATTCACGAGCAGGGAGTTTGCAGGCAGTCCGGTGGGACCCACGCCTGCTGCGGAATGAAGGGCTGAGGGAGCAGTTGAAATGCATCCCGGTCCCACGAAGGCCTCAGCTGATCTCCTGGCGGCAGGGTGGGCTGGGGTAGCCCTCAGAGGTGTTCTGAATTGAGGGGAAGGATCTGGCCCTATACCCCGGTGGGATGTGCACTTCCCCCAGCAGGGGGGTCTGACTCCTGGAGAGGCGGCTCTCTTCAGTCTAGGACAGATCCAGAGAGGCACTTGGCTGAGAGCTATTGGCACTAACACTGGCAGCAGCTGGGCAGGAAGGCTTCAGTCCTGCCAGGTGGGGGAGGGGAATCTGGTGGCACCTGCAGCATCCGCTACACTGGGCATTTCCAAATTTCTGTCATTCCTACAACAACTTACTGTATAATAAAATAACACAGATAGGTGTGTTAAATGTTATTTGTCCTAAAAGAAGATAGGACGCTATTGATGTTACAACAGGGTTGACCAAAAAGAATAATCTTGGAAATTGTTTGACACTAGTTAGGGGTGTGTCGTGTCGCTGAGCCACCTGAAGTTGAGGTGGTGGTGCTGGCCCATGGCTGGTCCTTGGTCTCTCTGTCCCTTCTGAAGTGTCAGTCACATGCACTGTCTTGGCCAGAGGTGTTATTCTTACAATCCCCGCAAGTTGGCAGTGCATTCTGCATAAAAATGAAGCATATTAAATGTTGGAGTGTATTGGAGCTTATATTTAGTCTATGAGTTGTGTACATTTTCGTGGCCAGGGAGCGAATGCTGCCTCCTTGTTCTGTTTTGTGCAGGTGCTGTATCACACCACGGTGGCCTACGACCCCGAAGGCATCCTAGGGACCATCAACTCCATTGTGATGGCATTTTTAGGAGTTCAGGTATGTGTCCATTTCATTAGGAAACATTTTTTCCTGACAGTTTGGGGTTACTGACTCATTACTAATTAAAAAACTGTTTCATTAAAGCCATTGGAAGCACATCCTCTTCTGTGTATTACAGGTCTAAACATGTTTGTATTGGACAAATTGTCAAAACTAGAAGCTGCTAAAATTCAGCACATTCAAATAATTGGGTATAATGTCTATATTGTCCAAAGAGGTTCTTACTATTCACACGGCTTACCTTAGAAACGAGGCACAGCTGTTTCTGGTAGAAGATTCCACTGGACTGTGCAGAGAACTTGGTACTGGTGATGCGGGGACGTCACTGTGACACTTTTCACACTTCTCTGTGTCCACGCTACCTGGTTTCAGGTTATGCGTATTTTTTTTTTAAATATATTTTATTGATTTTTCACAGAGAGGAAAGGAGAGAGATAGAGAGTTAGAAACATCGATGAGAGAGAAACATCGATCAGCTGCCTCCTGCACATCTCCCACTGGGGATGTGCCCGCAACCCAGGTACATGCCCTTGACCGGAATCGAACCTGGGACCCTTCAGTCCGCAGGCCGACACTCTATCCACTGAGCCAAACCGGTCCCGGCCAGGTTATGCGTATTTTATGACCAAGTCAGTACAGGGTATTCTTGGTTTGTCTCCCATGTGAAAATTCTGAACAGTCCGGCCTTTTCTTCCTAAAGTTGCTCCTCACTAGTATTTGAAGTTGTTATTTGAGGGGCGCTAGCTGGGAGAAGAAAAATGTGCAGAGCAGAGCAAATGAAACTCCGTGTGATGATGAGAATGTTCTCTATGTGAGCTCTCCGTGTGGCTACTGAGTACTGAACTGTGGCTAGTGTGACTAAGGGGCTGAATTTTATTTTATTAGTTTTATTTGTTTGTTTATTATTTTTACTGATTTCAGAGAGGAAGGAAGAGGGAGGGTGATAGAAACATCAATGATGAGCGAGAATCATTGATCGGCTGCCTCCTGCACACCCCCTACTGGGGATCGAACCCACAAAGCGGGCATGTGCCCTTGACTGGAATTGAACCTGGGACACTTCAGTCTGCAGGCCGATGCTCTGTCCACTGAGCCAAACCAGCTAGGGCTGCTTATTTATTCTTTTAAATAATTTTTTATTGATTGATTTTAGAGAGAGAGAGGAAGAAAAGAGAGAAAGAGAGAAACATTGGTTTGTTGTTCCACTTATTTATGCATTCATTGGTTGATTATTATATGTGCCCTGACCAGGGATCGAACCTGCAACTTTGGCGTATTGGAACAATGCTATAACCAACTGAGCTACCTGGCCAGGGCTAAGGGGCTGAATTTTAAATTTTATTTAATTTTTAAAGCTATTTCTATGGATTATTTATTTATTTATTTATTTAGAGAGGAAGTGAGAAGGAGAGAGAGAGAAACATTGATGGGAGAGTGACACATCGATCGGCTCCCTCCTGCATGCCCCCTACTGGGGATCAAGCTGAAACCTGGGCATATACCCTGACCAGGAATCAAACTGGCAACCTTTTGGTGCACAGAACAATGCCCAACCAACTGACCCACACTGGCCAGGGTTAAATTTTAATTAAATTAAATTTTAAGTAGTCACCTCTGGCTCCTGGCCCTTGTATTGGACAGTGCAGGTCGAAAGCATATACAATTTGGTGATTAAATAATTTCATATTTAGAAATGCTGCCTTAGCTCCATAGCACTTTGTAGTTTACCTTGTGCTTTCATTTAATCCCCGTGCATGCTTTCTAGCTAAGTCTGCGCCTGCGGGAGCAGCGTAGGGCTTGAGTGCAGACCTGGTGAGCGCTGCCAGGGTTTGCACCCAGCCTGCCCGAGGTAGCTGGGTAGCCTCAGCACGTTATTTGACCCCTCTGTGCTTCACTAGCACCTACTTCATAAAGGTGTTGAGTGGATTAAATAACTTAATTCATGTAAAGTTCTGAGAACATAACATTTGGCTATTATTATAAATAGCACTTTCTTAGAGTTCGATATTTTCCGAAATTAGTTCCTAATTTGAGGGGATTTTTATGCAAAGTTCAGATTTTACTGTGTTTAAAATGTTCTCTGCCTCCAGTTCCACCTTGTCCCTGTCCCTCCTCCACGCCAGACTGGGCCATCTGGCAGACCTAGGGGGGAAGGCCAGTGCCTGTCAGTGAGACCTACAAGTCCACCTGCCTGTCACCTTCGTGCCCTGCGGCACCTGAGGGCTGGTGGGCTTTCTCCCCGTTTTGACCTGCTTCTGGGCGTGCTGTTCCAGTCGGCCTGAATGCTCTTCCTGCTTTGCACTCGTAGCTTCATCTCTATGGCACTTCCTCTCTAATGTCTTCCTCCCACAAGTGGTCCTAGGTGCCGCTCAGTCTCCACCAGGCAAGGGCGGGGGTAACACGCCTTTCCTCTGTAATCCCAGCGCCTAGCAGCGTGCCGGGCAGAGGGGTCAGTGGAGTGGTTAAGATGATGGATGGATGTGAAATCGGAATATACCTTCGGCGATTCTCTGGGTCAGACTGTGTTTTCTTCTCCAGGCAGGAAAAATACTCTTGTATTACAAGGATCAGACCAAAGACATCCTGATCAGATTCACTGCCTGGTGGTGTTTTCTAGTGAGTAACAACGTTCCTCCCTAAAACTCCTTTTCTTCACGCATACATATTTAAATTAAAAAATGTTTAGCAACACTTGTGTATCAGCTGTCACCACATCGCAACAGGTAGCATTCTTTCTTTTTTTAAAATCCTCACTCGAGGATACGTTTTTATTGATTTGAGAGAGAGAGAGAGAGAGAGAGAGAGAGAGAGAGACACATCAATGTGAGAGAAACATTAATTGGTTGCCTCCCATTCCCGCCTCCACTGGGGACCAGCCCGCAACCTTCTGGCACGTGGTTTGACGATCCAGCCAACGGAGCCACCTGGCCAGGGCAGCATTCTTCAGTTGAATAACTGAGAGGAACAAATCTTTCCACCTAAATTCTCAGGTTATTTTTTTAAGGAAACTGTCTTTATAAAGAAGTCAGCACTGGCCATCAGCAGCCAGCCAGGAATGCATGAGGAAACAGAACCAAGGTACGGGCCTTGGTGGGAACCGTACCAGGAAGACCAGGCACATGCTTACACGTTTCCAGATACCAGCTTCCAGGTTGACAGGGGACAGAGGAGTGTAAGGTCGACGGTGCATGTCACCCCTGACCTTGCAGTCATGGTTCCTCTCAGGATTCATTCCGATTTATCACTTAGTTTACCTTCAATTCAGAGGAATGATGAAAGCATATTTTTAGAGAATTTTTTTTTTAAAAAAGGAGACATAGGTACTACTCTTTGTAATACTTTAAGCAATAAGACAAAATTTTAAAAAATAGAGAATATTTTTAGTTCTGCAGCTTAAAAATAGTTTTCCAGCTAAAAGAATAAGATATGACACAAATTCAGCCCTCCCTAATTAGTTATGTAAGTAAAATTCTTCAGTTTTGACACACAATTGTTTTGTGAGGTAATAGAAAAAACCTTTATCATCTCTCTCCCTCATTATAGGGGCTTATTTCTGTTGTTCTGACAAAAGTTTCTGAAAACGAAGGCTTTATTCCAGTGAACAAGAATCTCTGGTAGGTACAGAAAAGTGTCACGTCAGTGTTGATGACGGGCGCTGCTCGTGTCGACGTGCTCTCAGGAGCCCCGAAACCCCTCGCTTACCTCCCCCAGGTCCATTTCGTACGTCACTACGCTGAGCTCCTTTGCCTTCTTCCTCCTGCTCATCCTGTACCCCATCGTGGACGTGAAGGGCCTGTGGACAGGAGCCCCATTCTATTACCCAGGTAAGTCCCCCCTGACCCTAACAGAGTTGCTGTAGTGACCACCTGGACTGGCCCAGAGACCAGCGGAGTGTACCCACAGGGGGACCTCGAGCCCCAGCCCGGTGGTATGTCCCCAAGCTGCAGGTTGGGAGAGGAAGCAGCAGGGGCCACGCAGGCCCAGGCCACACAGGACATCCCTGGCCTGTCTCAAAGCAGTCCACCCAGTTTACCTACTTAGATCTGTTTGGCACTTCTTCAGGCAACGATTTGGGGCATATCATCTAGTTTCCAATGCTTCAGAAATGGGGCATTCTTTCTTAATGTAAACGCACTGCCTTACAGATGATACAGGAGAAATATCAAGAGATGATACCAAGAGATAAACAGAATGGTTAAAATGCAGTTCTGCCTGGAGACCGATAGGCCCAATAACCTCAGTGACTCATTTCTTCCCTCTGATTCTAGTAATAGTTGCTTTCTTTGGACCTCCCGTTTTCTGTGAGAAAATAGGAGTTAAAATTTTGGCTTTCCTTTCAGATTTAGTATTCAGGAATCACCCTGTTATGAAATGAAGACTTTCTAATAATTTTTTATATAATTTACGCTTAAGTATCTAAGATGTGCATCACTTACTTTTGGCAGTAGCCAGTAATATCAGTGCGTGCTTTTGTTTTTTTCACTGAACTAAAATCAAATTTCACGAATTAAGTTAGATGAGCCCGGCTGGCGTGGCTCATTGGTGGAGCATCAACCTATGAACCAGGAGGTTATGGTTCAATTCCCTGTCAGGGCACATGCCTAGGTGTGGGCCTGATCCCCAATGGGGGGGCGTGCAGGAGGCAGCCAATCTGATTCTCTCTCATCATTGACGTTTCTATCTCTCTCTCTCCCTTCCTCTCTGAAATCAATACAAATACATATTTTTTAAAGAAGAGAGTTAAATAGATGAGTGGCAGGAACACATGACCATCTGTCTCTGTCCTTCAGGAATGAATTCCATCCTGGTGTACGTGGGCCACGAGGTGTTCAAGAACTACTTCCCCTTCCAGTGGAGGCTGCAGGACAACCAGTCGCACAAAGAGCACCTCATCCAGAACATCGTGGCCACGGCTCTCTGGGTGCTCATCGCCTACATTCTCTACAGAAAGAAGGTTTTTTGGAAAATCTGATCGTTCCACCTGATGTGTGTTGCTGGCGGACTCTATTAAAGGGAACCATTAATGATAAAATCGATAGGGTGTGTATTTCCAGATGATTGGGGATGAGGCTGATGTTCTCGGGCTGGTTGACTGTGATAGGGCTCGTCAGAGCTCTGCCTGCGTATTTGCAGCTTAAATGTTCGGAACGTAATGGTCTTTTTTCTCCATCTTCTCTGTACGCGGATGGATTTGGAACTCTATTCCAAGGATTTCTCGGAGAGCTTTTCACAAGGGAATTACCCTGGGCATTTGCTTCCGTGACGGGTAAAACCATCTAAGGTCTGATGCTCCCTGGTCTTGTTCTGCACACCGCCTTTCCGTGTACACACATGCCCACCAGCGCCACCATTTCTGTCGGCTGACCCTATGGCTGATGGAATGTGATGTGTGGTTTAATTGTGTGTGTGTGTGGAGTATAGCGAAATAACTTTAAGAAAGGGTAATTTCCCTTTCAGGTCTGCAAGGCGTTGGTGGGTCCAAAAAATAGGCCTTCCTGTCAGAAGCCATTTCCTCTTTGTCATACTTGAAAAAAAGTTAAATGTGGGTGTGTTATTCTCAGCCACTCTCGCTTCATTATCTACTTACGTACCTATCTTCTGGCTGTCACCTCTCTGCCCACCTGTGCGTGTCTCTGTGTGACTAGACGGAAGCTGGCGCCCAGGGACAAGGCTGTGGGGGAGGAGAGCGCTGTCTTACGTGTGGCTCCGGCTTTGCCATCTTTGCCACATCAGATGGCAAGTCCCCTGGCCTGTCTGAGTCTCGGTTTCCTCATCTGTGAAATGAGGGAGGGAGCGATGACCTCTCAGGTCCTCAGTGAGGTGGGGTACATCGATAGCTTTTCTGAAATCCTTAGAAAAATAATTTTATTACAGAAAAACTCTTCAAAATAAGTGACAATGACAAGTTTAGAAAACTCTCATTAGAGTCAGTCTTTTCAGAACGACCCTCCACAGTGGAGGCACCTTTCCTGCGTGGAATCAAAACTGCAGAAGTCGTTTCTCGGGAGCGAGGCGGGGAGGGCACACAAAGAGAAACAGCACTGTTCCTGTGATGCATCATCATACTTAGGAATTTTCTGTGAGAATTCCACGTGTAAGGGAAATGCGACCGTAGCTTGGACTCTAGAGCATCCTCTGTGGCAGGGCGGGGCCCGCTCAGCGCTGCTTCCACTGTCACCACTGCATGGACGACTGCCTAGTCTGTGCTCCAGCTCAGACCCCTGCCCCAACCTTGCGACTGCTCATGAGCCCCTCCACCTGCATGTCTGCCAGCATCCGGGCTCACCTCTTCCCTCCTTTCTTGTCCCAAATTCAAACCTTTTCCTCTTTGGATTTTCCTAGCTCTGTGAATGGATCGTTCTCATCTCTAGGTATAAAACTGCTGCCATCTTTCACCCCGCCCCCTCCGTTATCCCTGCTTCTTCCGTATTTAGTCATTGCCAAGTCTTCCCAATTCTGTCTCCATCTTCCCCTGTGCCTTCTTCATGCTCATGGTCACTCCCTATGGCTCTAGTCCAGACTCTGCTTCTTTTTATACTGGCCTCCTTGCCTCAGTCCCTCCTAACAGAGAGTCGTGCCCATTGTCACTAGATGAAGCTGATTGAAGCTGGGCTCAGAGCACATCACCTCCTTATAAAAGCTTCCATTGACCTTGATACAGCTTTGCCGGGCAGACATAACTGTCCTCAGTTGAGCTCAACACATCTTTCCAGCTTCCCGTCCCCACCCCCCGATGCCCACCCTACTTATTCCAACCGCACTGGACCCCTCTGCCTCCCTCACTTAGCCAGGACCTCCTGCTTCCGTTTCTGATCATAGTCTTCCTGGATTACTTTTTCCTCTTAATTTTCTCCTATCTACATTTTTTAAAATTAAATTTATTGAGGTGACTGAATTGCGTCCAGCATGGCCAGGGGTGAACCTGAGGAGAGAGGCGGTGAAGGATTAAAGAAGACAGACAAGAGCATACAGTTGGTACCAGGTGGATCACTGTGCCTGCGTGAGGAAACGGTGACACAGCCTGTAGGCCGAGTCTTTATTTTATAGTCAAATCACACAAAGCAAAACAAGGGCAAGATGTTTACAATGTTCTTGCAAATTTCAAATCTGTTTCTTTCCTGTTGTTGACATTCTCTGAACTCTCTCAAGCCTTGTTTTGGCAGCACTTGCTGCACCCCCACAGCCCACATCCCTTAGCTACCTAGGGTCCGACTATAAGGTCCAGCTTACAACCATAGCCTTTGGGCTGTAATTGTGCTGGGAGGGCTTTGCTCTCTAAGCTGGGACTTGTATGTGGCTTTGCCACAAGTCAGTCCGAGGCTTGATCCTGTCTGAATGCTGTAGCTGCTATCCCCAGGTGACATCGGTTAATATGATCATATAGGTTTCAGGTGTGGGTTTCTATGTTATCAGATCTATGCATTGTACTGTGTGCCCACCACCCAAAGTCAAATCGTCTTCTGTCATCATATATTAGGACTCCCTTAAACTCCCCCTTCCCTCTGGTAACCACCACACTGCTGTTTGTGCTCAGGAGTGCCCATTTTATTTGCCCTGTGTGAGTGAAATCATATGGTTCTTAGCTTTTTCTGCCTGACTTGTTTCACTTAGCATAATATTCTCAAGGTCCATCCATGACCTGTCACTTTAGACTTCCTACTTCTAAGACACCTCTCCAAACTGGTATGCTCATCCAAAAGTAATATTTTATTCCTCTGGGTTCTCATAATATCTTATTGGGATCAATCTCCTGGCATCTGTCACTTTATGATAGTTATTGGTTACATGTCTAGTTTCCCACACTAGACTGTGAGCTCATTAAAGGCAAGAATTATGTCTTGTTCATCTGCATATCATTGGCAAAAACACAGCGCCTCGTACATAGCAGGCACCAAATAAATACTTATTAAAGCAAAGCAGTGCTGGCTGTTTTTGTTTTTAATATTTAAGTGCTGATAAAACGAGTGTCTGGCACGGAGTGTCTGAAAACGGTGGAGCTCATGTGTATGGGGACAGTCACCTTTGAGGGCACCTGCTGCTACCCTCTTGCAATGACTCGTGATGGATGGTCACAGCTGTCATCCCAAGCCCCAGCAAGTGAAGCTGGGTTGGGCCTCTCTGGATGAATTCTCCAGCTTTTCTTAAATCAGGGAATCTGTCCGTTAGGATGTCCTGTACCCGAAGAACAGGAAATCCTGATTCAGCTGGGCTAGAAGGGAAGTTTATCTCACATGAGAAGTCGGGAGGGGCAGGCCCCTGCACATCCGCTTGGCTCAGCCGGCTCGCTGCAGGGCTGTGGGAGGACCGCGTGACGGCCACATCCTGGGGAACAGGACACACACTCAGGAAACGGGACACACTCTGCAAGGAGAGGGCCTCCCCTCTGTGCCTTAAGTGTATTCACCAGAACACCCTCCCTGAAGCCTCTGGGCAGCCTTCCCCTCATGTCTTACTGGCTGCAAGTGCTTCAGTGACTTAGAAAACCAGCAGTGGCGGAACTGGCTTGGACCACGTCGTCTGTGGCTGTGTGGAGGACGGCAGTTACCTCCTTTGGGAGGGCAAGGGGGGTAAAATTAGAAACACCTATTGCCGGTGTTTGCTTTTAGTTGTATGTATGTACAATCTCTTCACCCAGTATAGCCAGCCGAACTTTTCCTCTTGGTAATCATTAGTTCCAAAATACTGTTTTTCTTCAGGCTACATGCATTTCCAAATTCAAAGGTGATAGAACTGCTAGGTACTTGTATCCTATGTAATAAAGAGGTAATATGCAAATTGACTGTCACACACTCACAAGATGGCTGCCTACAACCAGGCCATCATGGCGGGGCGGGGTGGTTAGTGAGGGACGACCAAATGACTGAACAAGCAGGCTGTGTGGGGCAACCAGGCTGGCGGCGGGGAGGAGCATGAGGAGTGACCAGGCCAGCAGGGTGGGCAGTTGGGGCCAACCAGGCAGGCGGGGGGAGAGGGGGCAGTAAGGGTTGACCAGGAGGACAGGCAGGTGAGCGGTTAGGAGCCAGCGGTCCAGGATTGTGAGAGAGATGTCCAACTGCCTGTTTAGGCCCGATCCCAAGGGGTCCAGGATTCGAGAGGATGCAGAATTGGAGAGGGTGCAGGACCCTCCCCCCGTGCATGAATTTTGTACACCAGGCCTCTAGTTATGTCATAAAATGCCTCAAACTTGATAAACCTCTTATCTAATCATGCATGTCAAAACAGTAAGACGAGATGCCATCATCACGCTGGTTTTCCTTTGCAGAATTCCATCCAAATGCTGGCCATAAGGAGAGCCGGCCTGGCTCCGTGCAGCACAAGCACAGGGCTCCCACAGGGTCTGCTACCATTCTGGGTTCTGGTGGCATTCTTTCCTGACTACTAGGACTTGCTCTACAGAAACCAGTTTTTTTCCTGATTTCCCCACCTTGCATGGCTAGCTGCTTGTTCTTCCATCTTAGCCTATCTGTGGCCACACCTTCCACCTCTCCTGCAGTCTGGCACACAGGAGTGGCACCACTAAATAAATGAAGATGACTGTTATCTTGTGCCGAACCATTTGGTTATTGGAATATCTGTTTTTGCTGCATGCTACCTCCAAACACCAATGAGGAAGGTGCTATAAAACCAAAAGGTAAGAGTTTTTTTAAAAAGTAATTCATTTTTTAAAAGTATTTTTATTCATTTCAGAGAGGAAGGGAGGCGAGATAGAAACATCAATGATGAGAGAGAATCATTGATCAGCTGCCTCCTGCACACCCCCTGCTGGTGATCAAGCCCACAACCCAGGCATGTGCCCTTAACCAGAATTGAACTCGGGACCCTTCACTTCACAGGCCAACACTCTATCCACTGAGCCAAACCAGGTAGGGTGGTAAGAGCGTGCTTAATTTGAAAGCTATTGGGGGACACACTCCATGATAAAATCAACAGGATGGTTTATATATTTATCAACTCATAGTAAGTTGATAAACATTTTAAAATGAGCGAGAGGAAACAATTTCTGAGATAAAAACCCTCTTATTGATTTTAATATAGC